ACATTCGTGGGTCCCCATTTGACTACTCATTCCTTTCCTATTGTGATTTTGTGATTTTGTTTTGGTTACTTTTGCGTGTCAGTTGTCCGAACACGCTGATTCAGTCCTAGTCCGCTACATATCAAAGCTTCAAAAATCTTGCGGAAAACTTTGGAGTAAATAGATATATAGCAGGCAGACATATCTTCATTTATTGCTTTTAGGTGAGCATTAGGATCAGACGTCAAGCGATACTTTTTTGGACTTAGGGACAATTGGAATTTGTCCCGTCATCTCGCAGGTTAAATATTTCCCTTGCCCGCGAGGGCAGAATATCCGGAAAGATGTCGTCTACAAGATTCACATTTCCAGAATTTTCAAACAGCTGAGTTAGATTTGCTACATGTGGGACGGTGTATTGATGGATTTGAAGCACGAAAATTTTTTGGAGTTTTGGATGCCATCCATCTGCATCCTTGAATTATTCCATTTACGTAATTTAACAGCACTGTTTAATCACTATTTTTACACCTTTCACATCTTCATACTGCTCACATATTTTTCAAATGGTTTGAAACTGCTGACCTAAAAGGGGCAGCAGCTTCTGTCGTAATTCAAACAATTGAATGCCGGCAATGAGGCTATCACATGGTTGGTCTTTAAGCTAGGCACCATAGTCACATTTGGCTACCTGTGCCTGAAAATGTATTACGAAATCACGAAACAGACCAATAATGCAAGCGCGTCAACATTTTAAGCCCAGCTCTCTAGACCGCTACAAATTTAATTGGCTTGAAGTGTTGCAGGACTTTCTTCCTCGATGCATTGTGGAAATTCGGAATATACTAAAATTCTCTATCAGTGTATGCGACTCCCCGCCGAAAAATGTGGAAAACACGTCGTGGGTTTTGTATGATCAATATCAGATTTTGCAATACACCAAATATCGAATCGTTGCAAATAATCTACTCTTTGTATAGTTAGATTAACCTTTGATGGTTACATTCTGGTAGGCGTCACGAAATGTTCCAATAGTTCACCACGTACATCAGCACAACCGAACAAACGGCGTAGCAAGCAGAACGTATGTATTCAAATTGACGCGTATATGGTATTAGGAGTAATAAAACAACAGAATAATGAATAGAGCAATGAAAAGACCGTAAAGTATAGTCGTCGCAGAAGACCAGATGACCGGATTTCATGCGCTGAATAACCTCAGTGTTCATCGAGTCAATGACGCTGGACACCTCCAAAATTTCCTGGATTTTATGCTGCACCAGGAGTCAGGAGATACACAACTGCTATGTGGTTCAGAAGGAGGTTTTGCTTAGTGCTAACGGGCTCTGAGATTTTTTTGAGGCCTTCGTAAAACTGAGATCCTTCTGGTAGCTGCAAATGAAGAGAGCTGGTGTGTTGAGCAGGCAAGTAGATGCCGTTAGTACTATTGTAAAATATGAGGTTAACAATAATAGTAATCAGAGCGCTCTGTCAACCGGCCTCGATATGCTGTGTGGTTGAGTGCCGGGTGTTTCAGCTGTGAAGCCTTTCCTCGGACGCGCAGAGGGAATGGATGCTAGGGATTCAATGCCCAACAGCCACTTAAATAAGGAAGGTATGAGTGGTGAAACATGTGATACTTTGGTTTTGGTTTAAGTATATTTGTTTGAACAAATTAGAGGAAAACTACCGCGGAGTTTTCAATCACGTCGTATCACGTGCTTCTTGCCCATCTATATGGGCTGATAGTTAAGACTGAATTGTGGAGCAGAAAAGCCACTGGAAAGGATCACGTGGATGAAGGCAAAACTTTTAACGTGTACTGGGGAAAAGAAAAGTAAGCAGGCGTTTATGCATCAGCTTCTCACGAATTTCCGAATTTTCCTTTCTAGAATATCTAACCGGATAATGAAGATTACAGCATAGACTGTTCACAAAAATAAACGCAGGGGATGGTATTCGGTGTCTAACAGGAGTGCACCCAGTTTGTGAGGGTAACGTTGTGGTTAAGTAACCGTGACGACGGCATACTAATTGTTACCCAAAGAAGGAAAGGCCGTTGGTCTTATTGAGTGCACCAAATGAGGGACATTTCTGAATAAACTGGTACCCAGTGTAAAAATTGGGGAAAGCGCTAACGATGGAGCAGGATCAAAAAGAGTCTCACGACACACGACTTTGAACTTTTATTTTAGCGGATATGTGTGTTCGATTTGAGTCCCTCGTCTTAAGCGGTTGAGGAGGAATATTTGATTTACTAGGTATATCAAATATTCGGCCGTGAGAAGATTTAAAACGAAGCGCATCAGAATTCGTTCTTTTACCGTGCACAATACACCAGTGAGGATACAAGGTCTGATGCCCCCAGATCTGTTAATTGCTCTAACGATTCCTTCCTCTCAAGCAAAAGGAAGCTTGTCTCTGTTGAGCAACTAACGGAACTCTGGGTGGAAATGCTTTGCTACCATGACCAATGTTTCATTCAAAATCCTCGGCTGAACGTCCCCTGGCTCCAACTCGTTGACAGGATTTATCACGTGCCAGGTTTGGTTAGGATTGCTTTTTGCATGGGCCAGGTTGATTAAAAGTTATCCGAAGTCGCACTCAGCAGGAATCGGACGTGTTAAGGTAACCAGGACAAAATACTGGCCTGTGGTCTTTCCGGGATTCTGTCCTTAAGACTAAGAGCAGTTGGCCTGTACTTGTGTAATGCTCTACCTGCTTATTCAGTAGTTACCCTTTTCTGAACGAGGGCTAGTGTTGTTGCCCGTGTTGTTAAATTCTATTGTGGGATTTCTGAATGACAGTGGTTCCGAATCTTAAAAAAATTAAACTTGTCTTACCAGTCTTCTGTAGTCAGTTTGGCCCAAGGATCTTCACCTGGCAATCCACAAAACAATAGCGGACGCGTTTGAAACCCCTTCTGGACAAGTGCAGCACCCATATTTAGGAAAAAGGGGTGTGCGCTAATAGGCTGGTGGTACACAATGTGCGGCGTACGGCGGCTTCCAAAATTTATGAGCCACACTCTTACTAGGTCATTTAAGTTGGCAAGCAGCTTCCACGCATCAGCTGTATTCTTTAAAGAAGAAAAGAGCAGACGCTAAAATTACTGAGTCGACAGACCGAAAAACTCTTGCAGAGCCGCCCACAGGGCGTTGAATTTGAGGAACTCCGATGGTTCTTAAGTATCCGTCGATTAGAATGGCCAAGTTACTGGGTACTGTTGCGTCTCCATTTCCGGAGTGCACCTTGCCTTTGCTTGGTCAGGAGGAATTTATTGCAAAATTCTACTGTCGGTGTCTGTGTGAAATAAACAAGTTATAATAACCTCCTTGGGTTAGCGGAACGCGCACAAAGTATCAGGTTCAAACGGTCTCTCCGTTCGTCTTTCGTCTTCTCGCCACAGTAATTACACCACAGCTTATTTATTTTGTCCCTACGACCGGTCGTTGTCCCAAAACCTGAGGCTTCCAAAAACACAGAAACAGTGGTTACAAGCTCCAGGCTTGGGGTTACAAGTGGGTAATTCTTGTGCTAGTGGACGTTGAACTTGCGCAGGACTTTCGTATCGCATTATTTAGACTGTGCGCTACCCAGCTCACCGTTGCCCCTCCACTCAACGTGGACTAGACTAACCCATAGTGCCCTGAGTCACGGGATACCCTTTCAGACTGCAGTGCTCCAATCCCTCCTTTTGCTGTCCTACCTGTTCCATGAAATAATGGAACGGAGCAACGGACAATCGGGCTACGATATGTGTTTAACTGCTGTAAACCTAGGGTGTAAACCTATCGATAAATCAATCACAAGAGTTGTCCTCGACATGGAGGAGTGTTGTAAGAACCCTACAGGCGATAAGAACGTGAAAATGTCAGTCTTCGGCCCCACTTTGTCAAAGGTGGCCTCTCCGATTGTGGACAGCATCGTCGCCCATAACACAGACAACCAAATGCATATACCTGACAACAGGAAACTGGAACACCAGTTGGCCATGGCGATAGCGGGCGACTCGAGAGTCCATACAAACCCGAATGAAAAGCGGCCTCGGTATAAAAAACAAGCCTCGGCAGACCAGAAAGATGTTGGCTAAATCCATGTGGCGGTCCTCTGCGAAAACAAGCATCATGGAAGCATTATCATAAGATGTACCTCCCGGTGCTGTCAACTAACGCACATGGCCTGGCAGAGACACTTTATCGATCAAAACGCGCCAAAATCTCCCCACTCAAACCCTGCACATGTTTGAAGCTGCTGTTTGCTGTGTAAACCTCACATATTTGGTGTGAATTTGTAATCCCTCACAAACTTTTGACCCTTAACGTGTTGAACCAGTTTGGTCGACCATCCTTCACCCGAGCTTCTGGACCATCTTGCGTTACCGCGCGCTATGCAAGGCATGTGTCGTTTACCAAGGTGAATTTGACGTCTTTTCCGGGCTTTCTGTAGACTTGCATTACGTTATGCAACAATTTAGACGGAAACCCCAATAATTGGAGGTTCGTCCCAATTTCGACGCGTAATTTATACATTTGGTACCACGTTTTATTGAAGAATCTCCGGAACCCGCAACCGCCGGCTTGTAATTTCGCATGTCACTCAAGTGGGCTCTTTGCGAATACCTATAAATATTCTACATGCATGTTTGCCCTGTCGACAAAAAAAGCAGCAATGAACGAGATACGAGCGGTCGGTATTTCCGCTCATGTGTGGAAAAACTGCGTCCCTCAAAGGAAAAGCCTCGAGGAAAGACAAGCATACCACAGAGGTTCCCTACGGTGCGTTGTAACAAAATACGGCGTACATCTATCAAGTCTGCTAACAATTCTGTCAGCACACCTTTCGGCTCTTCACCTGCAGAGGCAGCAGAAACACTGCTGGAATGTTTGCCCAAAAACTGCGCTAGTCTTTTAAAAAAAACTTCGTACTACTAGACAGTCAAAATGCTTTGAAAAACCGTCCGAAATCGCGCAAAGAAAAAACGGCTCAGACCTGGCTTGCTGATGCGGAGATTTCAATAGATGGCTACTCCATTTTTCAGGCTGGCTCAATATGCAGGAGGGCTGTTGAGGTTTCTATTTAGTTATGTGCAATCCTGCCCATTTCGATTGGCCTCTCCAACACCACCGCTACACTGTGGATCCGACTCCAGCTGCAAGGGACCAATTGTCTTCTTCTGGGTTTGGTCTGCCGTTGCCTCTCGAATCTTCCGGAAGATGATCATTTCCTTGTACAAACCCTTTAGCAACTGTCATTTGGCTATCGCCTTCTGCATCTCTTGCTGGCGGGTGGTTTCAACGCCCCTAAGGCCTCCTGGATGGAGATCGAGCGCGTCAAATATAGCGGAACGTTTACAGGGGCGCTGATCAAATTCGTCCAAAGTGGCGCCGGTACTAAACCTGTCGTCGCCCCTACCAGAAACCGTGTAGGCCAACTACCATTTCACCTGAATTTGGTCATCATCAACGAAAGACACTTCGTTGGGTTCAGGTGAAAAATTTGGTTGCAGTTGTATGTAGATGCACGAGTCGGCATCGTCGAAATTGGGGGCTCAATAGTTGAGGGTGTGCTATCAAACTGGGTGTGAATGCCATGATGTAATTTCACTTAAATACTTTTGTTTTTGGACAACCCCGCGATGGGCGTCATGTTTGGGTTGACTGGGTTAGGATGTGCGATTCTGTGGGCAGCGGGATTTTCAGGTTGGCCAAGGGAATCCGCAGATCAAGAACAAACCCAATGTATGATCGCCGGTATTATTTTGGCCCGGATGGGGATCCATTCGGGTGTAAAGCACAGATTAGATGGAGTAGATAATGGCCAAACCAGACCTCTGAACCAATGAAGGAGGAGGAGGGAACGGAATGAGAACAGTGAAGCATGATGAGATTTAGGAGCCATCAGATAGGATTAAATCCAAAAACAGAGAAAAAACTGAACATTCACCAAATTAGGGTGATCACAGCAAGTGATTAAATGAGACAGGATGGGCGTTGATGCGTACTGAGAAGCGTAGTAATCAAAGATTTTCTAACCTCTAGCCAATATACTCTATTATATTACCAGAGACAGAAAAATTACAAGTACACAGAAGCGTGATATATTAAGGGTAATTAAACACAAAACTAACGGGGGTGGAACTTCCGAGATGCTTGACTAGATTTCATGAGGGTCGTTTTGTGAGTTGTACAATACCCTAAACTAGGAGGGAAAGTGAATATAAGAACAACGGACACCGATCCCCGATGCACCGCCTCAATGAACGAGTGTTTCATGATGAAAAACCTTTAGACTCTAGCTTCGTATGCCGGCAGTGGATGGTTTCGGAATCTAATTGCGCACGCATTATCCATTTTTTGTATGTATCCACCGGTGGTTTGGTTGACGAGTTGGGTTTATGTGCAGTGCGACTTCGATTACGAGGAAGGCAGTTGCAGTTTTGCATGTCGATGGGGACCGCGGAGTATCTTCAGGCTATCCCAAGTGTTTTTAGAGCGTTTTTCTTGACTTTTACTCCGTAGACTTCTCAAAAATGATTTGGGTAGCTGGCTCTCCTCAAACTTGTCCTTCTCACTGCACTATGAGAAACCGGCCCAAAAGGCATTCGGCGTTCTACAGATGATTCGAGGCAATTACTCCCGTATTACTCGCCTGGACCTCAGAACACTCTATGGGGCCCATGTCAGACCGCTTTTTGAATACGCCGATCAGATTGTCTACTTGGGGCGCACGAGCGACGCAACCCTCATTGAGCGTGTCCAGCGAGGTGCTGCGAAAATGGTTGCTGGCCGTAAAACCCTGGAATATGAAGGGCTTCTTGTGGCCCTCGACCTCATTCCCCTGGAGTATCGTCTTCTCCAAGGGGACCTAATATTTACCCATGTTGCTTTTGAACACGCTTTGTTCAACCGGTTTTTCAAGATTGATCCAACCATCATATGGCGGCGACATGGCAAGAAGATGCTCACATTCAGAGCGCGCATTTTTATAAGGCAAAATTCTTTCGGGTAGTAGATACATGGAGTAAACTCCCTAAGACGGTGCCCAGTTCAAACCACTATTAAACGCTTTTTGTTTGAATATTCGTGCTGCAGAGGTAACCGCTCCATGCTAATGGGGTGCTTCATTCTTATTTCGCTTATCTTCCAGGCGAACAAGAGCCGCCGGACAGCAAGAACAAAACTGACCTGAGAAACTTGGGTGTATGTATCAATCCGAAAATCCCAGAGTTTTGTTTGACTGCATAAAATTCATATGGTAAATAGCATATCAGAGCGCGCAAGAATTAAAATGGACGCCAAGATGGCTTCATCAAATTCATCACATTTTGATGAAGAAAAATACAGTTCTACAGAAGGACGCCCCCAGAATGCTATTGTTCATGGTATGGTGCTGTTCTGTTATATAATCACGCGGGACAAGTGGACGACCGGCTGGAATATTTGGAAAATATAAATTCAACGTCACTTAAAGTACTGGAAAAAAATTCGCAGCTTAGAAAGCTGAATGGTGAATTGAAGAAAGAAAAAAATGTTAGTCAGCATGCATGTCGCAACTAAATTCAGGAGTTCAAGCGAAAGATGGAAGAGCTGGAATTGCGATGGACCATCGTCCAAGAAAAAGAGAAAATATACAGGGACTCACTAATAAAGTTTGAAAAGATGCTGAGAGATAACGACGAAAAAAAGTTGCGAGCCTTGCGGAAACTAGCGAACGAGCGATCGCTCCAAAAGACGAATGAGGTAGAACTCGAAATGTTGGTAAAACTTTAATATCATGGGTATTATCACATTGTATTTAGTTTGAGAAAAACAAATAAACAGCTATTGAGCCAGCGCCAGAGACTGGAGAATAAGGTTGCTAATCTACGAAAATATCAGAGGTTTCTCCAAGAACTTGTGAAGCGTTCAGAATATTTTAGTGATATCTCGGAGGTTCTTTCACGTTACAATGCGCTTAAGGCAAATCTTGAGGTAGTCTTCACGTTTCCGCAGACCGACATCCGATAGGACCTTAAATGTGTGGATCAAATGAATAACTTGTGTTTCGAAGATCTATCAACACACCTGCATCAGTACAAAGAGGTACGCTACCTTTCATAATTTATTCCACTTCAGGAAAAAAGCGACGAGAAACTATCATTAACCAATGAGCTTACAGCCCTCAGGAGAAGGTTGGAAGACAGCCAGACAGAAAACAGAAATAGAGAAAACCTATGGGTGCATACCCGGGACGACGCCTTACAGAGGGTATCGGAGTTGTGTGAACTAAAGGGGTTAGTTTATTACGTGTGGCCTGAATTATGGCATTCAGTTCCGTGCTTAATATGTATCGGACTGCAAGAAAGTATGAGAAATACGGTGAAGACTTATCGTCGGAGAACACAGTGGATCAACTTGAAGTGGTAAGATCTATCGAAATACAATACACTATGGATTTCCACGTTATTGAACAGATTAATACGTGTTGAGCAGGAAGGTGTCCAGCAAAGTGATGTTAATTTAACTGAAAGTTTCATGCTTCTTAATATTAGCTATAAGAAGCTATTTGTTACATATTATTCAATTCACAATAAGCAGAACCCTAATTGTTCATGAGTCAGCAGGAGCCGACAATAACCTTATATTTATGGGAAAACCCGCACATACTGAACAAATGTTCATCATTCAGTATGCGACACGACTAATTTATTATAAACATACTTAAATAAACAATGACTAGTGCTGAAGGAAAACAGATGCAAAAACCAGCAACAGAAAATGCGCAGAATTAGCGGCTGATCACAAAATTCCTTCACCAACAGTTGCATATTTTTCAAGACTTGTTTTCTCTAGACATAAAAACAAGTGGTTGTGTTTCTACAAAGAAACCATCTAAGACATATACGTGAATTAATTTAGCGAGGAGTGAGTTAAGCAGCAGACATTTTCACACTCTCATTTGCTATCAGCATAAAAACTCAATTGTAGATCTCATTTATAACGCAAACGCGTTATTGTTTTTTTAATTCAGGGTACAGAGTAGAAGTATTGCACTTTTGTGACCCTGCTTCTCAAAAATAAACCTGATCCATATTTTTCCATTCGTTGACAGCCATTTTGACTTCATAACCGTATTTAGGTAATCAGGAAGTACCAAAATGGCTGTTTTTAAAGAGCTCCTGTGCCGATTACTCAACGTGGTACTTCAAAGTTACAGCAAAATGCTCGAATCAAGCCGCTTCAAAAGCATTTCCAAACCTCCTAACTTTCAACAACCTATTTAGTTTTTCCACAAAAATAGCATTATATTTTTGTGACCCAGCTTCCTTAGCAGATATATATAATTATATATATAAACACACTTCTTGAATTCGGTGGTAGTTTTGCCTCTCACCGTCTGCAGGATAGGTTGAACAGCGTTTGTGCTTTTCAGTCGGTGAGGTGAATGCTGGTATGTTTGTTTGATTGTGGAATTTGATAATGCGATCGAGAAACAAATGAGCAAGTTATTTTTCCAGGCGTAGCATACTGCATCAAAATTATTTTAGAATTCTTATAGCATTCTTCCAAAATGCTACAAATAGGAAACATGGAAGCTAGAGTTAAGAATTGGCAAACGTGTGAGAAGACCAGTCTTTGAACGGTGGGTTTTAATATCTAAAACTAACATTTCTGATTGAGACGGAATGCAGCCAAAATTCATGGGAAAAGCAGTACATTTTGCTAGCTTTCACAGCCTAGGGATATAAGCTTGAAAAACCAGAGTTTCTGAAACAGTAGCATATAACGTCCTGACATTTACGATGTGGCTTCAACAGCGTACCAGAGGTCTGAGGGTGAGAATCCATGAGTATACGTGTACTTGCAAATATCGCCTTGTGGATACAGTAAAGGGTTTTTTACACACACTATCAGTACTTTCAATTACCGCCCAAGCTTTTTAAACAGCATGATAACCACCAGTGTCGAAATGGCCGTTGAGTTAAGCGTTCCATATATTCATTCGTGTTCATTGAGCCTTATGTTTGTTTCTTTACAGGGTAAGACCTAAGTAACGTGCGGTGTGCAGGTTTATGTTTCATACAATGTCACTAAGCTAACTTGCCCTGAAAAATTTGCCTCAGCTGCTTTTTAATTTAATTTTTGGCTTCTCTATTTGGTTGTACAAGTTTTTGAAACGCTTACTTTTGGTTATTGATCTTTTTACCCAAATTTCTCTGAATGAATATAGCTGTTAGCTTAATTTTGACCGTCTCCAGCCAGTACGCTTAGACTTTAAACAACGAACTGAGTAAAATCAATACAGCTAAATTTTTACGGAGCCTAGACTGTCTTTGCTGATTGGTAATTCTGAAGGCCCATTTACGTCTATGGCGGGTTATTTCTTTAGAATTACTCGTCATCTGCTGGTCATATACTGGCGATACTCAGGCGTAGATCGCTATTTAGGACCACCTCACATGAACAAGTTCTAGTGAAGTATACATGGGATACAAACCCTCCACTAACGCTGGTACTCTTTTTAGGTGATAAAAAAGAGAAGTCGTTCGGCTGCAACACCCTTCCGGTGCCTAGCTGTCATGCCATCCGGAGGAAGCACGATAGCTGGCATACTGCCAGGATACCAAAGCCTAGACAGGGAAAGTTAAGAGACAGAGGTCGGGTTCGACAAAAAAGAAAGTGCAAAAGCCATTTGACCGTTTTCTCCATGATATAGTCAGCAAGGGAGATATTACCAATATAGCTGCTGAAAGCAGTTTGACATTCAAGATTTGATCCTGTACTCTTTTGAGCTTATGGGTCGGGTTAACGTTCCGAGTCTCCGTCAATCGCAGGTTCAACTTAAACCAAAATTGTACAGAGTTCTTGAGCCACTCTTGGCTACACACCAATCTGGGAGACTCAACTTAATTCCAGCTGAGAAATGTCAAAAAGCAGCTATTTAGCTACTCACAGTGGAAATCAAAATGGCATGAAAATAGGTACTTTGTCAAATTGTGTGCAACTCGGGTTAAAGTTAAACATATGGTTGACAAAGCCGAAGAAGTTGCATCTAGCTGAGGAGCACAGAGATGGAAAAAACTGGCCTTGGGCTGTTCAGAAGTTTTTAGTGAAGTTGTGAATAGTTTTCTTGCAGCCTTCGTTAAGCATGCTTAGTTAAAGAATTTGAGTTTCAGTTGCATTTCGAGTGACACTATCTTAAGGACCAAGTTGTTGCGCGAATAAATCTATCTGTTTAACCAAAGGGAATCCGCATAAAACTTTTATTAAAATTTACCAAAAAACCTACTCACACTTTCAGTGGCACGTGCTTGACGGTGCACGTCAACTTGTGGGTATGATTAACTGAAATCGTTAATACATACACTTATTTGCTTACTTCAGCCGGCCAGTTGCGCTGATACTTGATTCTGTTTATTCACTCGGTGCGGTTTCCTCTGACATGAGGCTGGAAATGGAATTGTTCAATAGTAACAGTGTTAACCTACCTTGAATTTTAAACGACTAACGTGTAATGTTTGAGTGCTTTAAAAGCTCTGTGTAGAGTCAATCTTGGACAAATCTGTAGTACTAATTAATTATAAGCTGATTGCTGCTTAATGTGGCGGTATATATTTGTTGACTTTGCCAGGCTTTTCGAAATTTTGATAGAAAATAAAATTTTTCCACTAAGGTCTTTAATCAGAATTACTTAAACAGAATTAAAGGATGGAATCCACGAGTGGTCGAGACTTTTCCGAGAACACGCCAAAACATTTAACGGCTACCTCACTTGGCATTTTTATAGCACTCTCATCTGTATGTAAAAAAATAGCACTGCTCCACAATATTAGTTAAATAATGATACTTAGGGCTTTTTACTCATACTACTTTAAACATGTCAACCTTTTTCACCAAAAGGTGACAACGAGTAGTAAAAGAACTTTAAAGTGATGTTAAGTTTTCTAAAGGCCTAAACACGGAGTCACACTGATAAAAAAGCAATTTTTTACCATTTTTTGCTGTTTTCATGTCGGATAATAGACAGTGATGTTAAACGTTTGTGTAAATGGTTATACCTTGTTACCAGTAGTGCATCAGTTTTGGTGGAGTTACCCTAGAACCCAAAAATTGTAAGCTTTGTCACCTTAAGTGTATAAATCCACTTCACTCAACCGTTTATTCAGTCAGTCAGCACAGCTCCTTGGTCCGCAGGTAGTGCATCAAGACGCACTGGTTTCACAATTGGTTGGTCTGCTCACGGGAAATTAAGGACGCTAAACTTGATGCCTTATTTATTTAAATGCATCCAAATGTTCTTTATTCGGCGTGCTAAGGGTGAAAACCTCGCGCTGGAGGTGACAGCTTCTAGACGGAGCCATCAATAGCTGAGTGGCACTGGCATATTTGTCGAGTTCACTGTCCATTTGTTTGCCTTGTGAGTGATCTTCATACAGGGATACGGTGGTTATTCATGTGGATGAACTGGCTGAAAGGGATCCAATGCTCTTTGCTAGGTGACGAACCATGCATAGTAACTACTTTCTAAGCTAGGTAGCCTTCGAATTTGGAAAGTGTTAATTTCCTAACTTTAAAACCAAGGCATCCTAATTAGCTTTTAATCCAGTCTTAACTGTAGAAAACTTTAGAATGCAGTATGAGTCTAAAGTTAGTCAGTATAAACTCAACAACGGGCGGTCTCGCAGTCAACCGAACTGGATGTTTTCAATAACGGCGAGTCCAACATGCGAACTCACAATGTTGATTGGTACTGATGCGAAGGAGTATCTTTAGAAGGAAATTCTGTGTTGGCTTCGAGCATATTTGCTTGCAAGTTGTCCTAACTAAACGGGTGACCAACGCTTAAGTCTAGTCTAAGTTTGTGGGAAAGTGAATCAATCAGAGCATGTGCCCAACAGGCAACGGAACTCGCGAGACGGATTATTTGGTTCTATAGCAGCTATGTTTGGGATTAAGCAAACGGGGTCATCAGTACCATATACTGTTGGAAACGTATATGAAAGTTATTAGAAAAGGCCTCCTATTTCGGTTGGCCCTAAAGAGGCGGTACGATAGCACAAATATTGCTTTGGACTTTTTAATTCACATGGTAGTCCCGCAGTGGATTGGGTCTCGACATCCTTGAAATTAAAAGTTAAGAAGGGCTTACTAAGGTGGTCGCGTGGGGTGCATGAGGAATACCAGATAGAGCCAAGCTTTCCTGTTTAAAAGGCAGAATTGATGCAGCTAACTTATTTATTATCTCCAAAAACCACTATGTAGGACAGTTGTGTAGATCCCCTGGGCTCCGTTGCAGCAAACAAGAATGTGTTGGGCAACCTGCGATACACAGATAGTGAAAATCGACTGAAAAGCAAAATCGAAGCTAAGCTGACTTGTTTTGGCTGTCTTCAGAACAGTCACGTAGATTATGTCTGGGTGATTATTTGCTTGTCCATCAGTGACTGTTCTGACAGCTTTTCGTCCCCTAAGACACACACTTAGCGACAAATTTAAAAAGCAAGTTTTATCTAGAATAGTACTCAGTACATCGTTAGATTAGGCAGACAGATCACAAAACCTCATAATGTGGTTCTTTATTTTGTCCAAAGAACAGAACTTATAGGAAATGTGCATGGAATGCTACGTGACACGTTTTCCAGGCTATTTTAGTTTGATAAAAAGCATACAAACGAATTGTAGATATAAGCGGAAACCAGCATGCAACTCGGAATCCAAAGCCAAAGGCTATGAGTTGCTTTCGTGCTGAAGATGAGATTCAGCTTAGTTTGTAAAGCAATCGTTGACAAGTTAGAATATACAGGAATATACAGAGAACAACCTAGGCCTTGGGCTCAGATGTGTCCTCCTTAAATAGACTGTATGATCATAACAACGAGCTCAGAATAGTCCTCATGGATTTTTGTAGGTTGTTACAATTCGACTTAATTTAGTTGTTATAATGACACTTGCCACAGGTCATTTATATCACCCCTGCAAAATAACCGTTTGACAGCATTGCAAGGCTCAATTAGATCTTGTAAGCTTCAGCTGTTTGACTCAACGTTGGTGATTGCTGAGCCAACTAATTGCATTTCTAGTCGCATTTCCGAATGCTGTTCTGCTTTTAAGTATCAAAGTCTTTAATACCGGTCAACGTCCTTATCCACCATAGTTCCGTTTATCCATATTCGTTCAACTTTACGCAAGTTGTTTCGGTGTCCTGGTCTTGTTGATTCGACAAACATAACAAGAGAATGTTGATCGGTTTGTCTCCAAAAATGACACCTCTTTGGATTCTAAAGCCTGTGAGTTTTTACACTTTTTCTTATCACTTCATACAAGGCGAACTGTGACCGTTCAAAACATCAACATTTAATATCATACCATGCTTGGATAACTAGAAACGCGTGTCCATATTTGTGCTCCCATCATTCTTCTCTGAACAGTCGTCCTCCCGTTCTGAATCAACCATTCTAATAAGTTTGCACCAAAGATGCAAAGCACTGGACTCGAAGTTTACGCATATCAGAGCTCATCAGCAGTGCTTATCCTGGGTCACGCAAGGTGATCGTGTTACCACTACATCCTCAACGCAAACTTGATGCATCCGAATTGTCACTTCTGAACATATGTTACAAACAAGGCCAAAAAGCTGACTTTGTAATGGCACATTTGCTCATAAATTTACATACATTCGCTTAAAATATTCTGATCTAGATTACGGCAACTTTGTTGTCAAATAATATCTTGACTTATGCAATTATCATTTATTTTTGAAGAGCATGGTCACAAATATAAAAAGTGAATGCAAGCTGGGAGAAAAGAGAGAAACGTCTCATTCGCATTTTCTACTTGTCATCAAATTCACTGTTTTCCGTAAGACAAATTTATAACTATTTAGTCGCGTTAAAATGCGATTATTCTGTTGTGTCTTAAAGTCACCAAAAATGCAGGTGCTAAAATTCGTGTGTATCTACTGTCATTCTGTCAGCGTTTTGGGTACCCCCTTAGTGATCAGCGACGCACTAACAAGATGTCGATCGAGCGCAGTTCATCACTCTGAATGCTATAATCGTCACTTGTTCCATCACAATCTGGCGTTTTACGGTTTTTCCTTTTTTTCAGATAAAAGATTTTATACTTGATTTGTCGGAAATCGTCAAAGAAGTCAGTTGACGTGCTTTCGTCCACCAAATACGCAGCGATGTCCAGATGATCTGTATATCAAAGACAGCTTACTCTGCGTGAAAGAATTTTGGTAGTTCGTGTTTTTAGATCACTCTGTGTCCATGTTCACCCATAATATTTCATTAGAATTTGCAAGGAACAAAATATTTATAGATAAAGTATTGTTCTGCAAAATTTTGCCTCAGATTTTGTCGAGATGTCAACAGGAATCAATTCAACTCGTTGTAAATCAGTTTTGTTGGGACAGCTATTTGTTCCATGCCATGCTTAATCAAGCTTCTGGCGGTCGTAAATTACAGAATATACAATCGCATCTATCATCTCAGTAGGTAGAAAATTTTTTATTCCATTTGGGCTGAACGTGGAGATGGGTTAAATCTGAAGGGGTACATAGCCACGGGGCAGTACTAAATTAAAGTAATTTAATTCAATTAATTCAATTTGACTTACTATTTGCCATGCTGAATACCTGAATAATTGTCGACAAACCTGAAGCGAGTGCACTGGTTCTGTAGCGTTTTACAGGAGAACCAGGGTGTGACGATCACACTGTTCGTCAATTTCAAAGTATCCTAACTGTGTTTTCAACAACTGAATTTGGCCGGTTATTTAAACTAAAAGTCAGCACTAGTTTTTTGGATGTACAAAAGCAAAATCTGCAAAACAGCTATCAACAAACGCATCAGGTTGCTTGTCACTTTGAAGGAGACAATAACAAAGCACCGTGTCCGGCGTTGCAATAACTGATCGATTTGAAGTATCGCACATCCGACTGTCGAAGTTATAAAGTGGCTAACTAAATGACCTTCAGCGACAACAGCAGAACTGACGCTGGAGCACTGATTTACAATAGTAATCATTTACTTGGTTATATTATCTTATCTGAGAGACAGAATGGATAAGTGAAAATAGGGCCAGTTCTGGCCTAGCAGATAAACCGAAGGTGCATATATCTCCAATCACGCTCTATACATAGACCCAGAAATTGCCATCACCAACACTGGTTAGTAACCTTAGTTCGCAAAGCCCCAGTGAAGGATCACCTTTGCGAGACGCGAGCATTGTTACTTGTTATGTGATTTCTGAAAGAAATCTCATCCCACTGGGAACGAACCAACTTTTGTGTTCATCATTTTTAATTTTTGTGGTATTAGGAGCGTAAATAAAATAGATAAACAGAAGAGCTTTTGTTTATGGCCAAATATCGCTTTTTTATGCCGCGTTGACTACCTCTGAGACTACAATCTCACCGAGAATGCTTAACATCATGATTACATTTTTACTCGCTGGAATGCCATTCACGCAAGCCAGGCTTGGATGGGCAGAAAAATGTCAAATGATAATTTGTGCACAGAAGCACGTCAGAAATGTTCTACTCACCCCATAAGGCCTTTTGTTATCAAAACTTTGTACGGTAGATAAAATTTTCCTAAGCATATCCAGAAGGCGTCCGTCAAATAGATTCGGGTTGGGCAAGTATGTACCGGTTGTCTGGTCAGATCAGTTAGTAGTCTAAAGCAACGCGATCTGTTTTATTCTAATCAGTAATGGCAAATAAAACTGCTTCTTAAATTGGGTCATTTTTGTAATATTTTGAGTCCAACCAGCAGTTTACGGAATCAGTCTCTCGTGTAGCCGCTGATGAGCAAGCAGACGGTTAAGAAATCTAACAGACATGAGTCTGTTGAGACCAACAATTCCGCCTTGGCGGTACATTTTGTATGGACTTCTGAATAAGGACCAAGCTGAACATAGTGCGTGAACATAATGCGGACCTCCATAAAAACTGAGTTGTCCATAGCTTGGACATATTCCGACCGGTGCTTTCGATCCATATGAATCTTGCAGCTAATTTGGAATGCAGAATTAACGCCGGATTATTTTTATCTCCGACTGACTAGTTTACGTTACCTAGGCTAGATTGACTTTTCGAACTACCTGTATGAAGCTCAAGATTGTCTCTCAACTCAGTTATAGGTCATAACAAAAAGTGAATAGCTATACTGCATTTCAACCGTCTTTCATAAGGAGTAAATCATTGGATTGGACAATAATCACAATTCCTGAGTGAAACTGACTGCGAAGCTGAGCCCATCCTCTGCAACGTGCGTTCAGCTCAAAATAGACCCATTCACCTGCGAAGTTAACTTTGAAGATGATTTCTATTGAGTGAATTTTCTTCTGCGATTGATATCAGTGGTCGAATTAGTCCGTTGGTCAAGCGGTTTTTCTATACGAAACGTGGTGGATATCCATCTTCTCTGAGATTTCTCTCACTTCACTAAAGCTTAATTCTGCTTTCGTGGAACAATCTAAGTTGCACTTTCGTAATTTGAATAAAAAGTTGCAAGAACTTGTACAATGATTCTGATCTGCAATTTTTCTGCATACCTCCACTTTGCAAATCGAAAAGTTAAAAATATTGCCACCTCCAGCTTTGGATGTGAAACCGATCTGCGAGTGAATCCTGTTAAATTTTTGTGAGACTGACGAAATAAAAAATTTATCGCCCATATGACAGAGCCCACAGATGCTGCTTTTCCGTTGCAGGTCGCCCACAAATAATAAATGATACCAAAAGACAGAGAGACAAGATCTTTGTTATTTCATCACATTCAACTTCATGAATAGCACTCATTCTGAAATCAACGTTGAGGAGTTCTCTCAAATACATTTTGAGTGATGATATTTACATGTTAGAACTCAATATAATTTCAAGTCGTATAGCTTTTTTCTTCAGTGGAACATGTATAAACAGAGGAGAAATGTCCGAAGAATACAAATGTTTGTTTGACGTATTCACTCCCTGAATTGGGATCGTAAACCTCCAAAAGGCTATGCAGCTATACTCCCACATGCTATTCCGCGCCTCTATTTGCTCTCTGGAACCAAATGGACTGTGCCGTCGGTCTTCTTGTTAAGTGAATCTACATTCCGGCACTTATTGTGAAGGCTGAATTGATGAAAGCGCCACTTAAGTCAAATAATAAGGAGAAATTACAGTAGTTTACTATGGAAAACCTAATAGGCATTCAGAAATGCTATACAGGTAAAGTGATCAGTCGTAGAACGTGTGCTTAAAACACGCAATCGGACTGGACGATAATCGCAAAAACGTCTTGTTTCGGCCCATCAAAACGCAACAAAATGTTAAACGAAAGATAAAGCAAGCGCAGTCATACTGAACAGTTGAATAGCAGTCTAACACATAAGATAATTCTTGCCTATTCATGGTATCAGAGTCATAGCAACCGAATTCGTTGAATTAATCATCTTCGGTTGAAAAATGTGGGCTACAACTTTCCAAACGAAGCGGTTTTAGCCACTGACCGAAGCGACTTACGAATTCTAGTGTGATAGTGTTTACGGAAAGATTTAATTAGGTAAAGCCAATTTTGGAAGAAGCCTAGGATTGGAAGGAGTGACGACTTTCACGATAACTCTGCATTAAAAAGCCAATGTGTCGCGATGTTCGTTCTCGCAATCATATTACCTGCGTAGAGTCACGACATTCAGTATATTTTTGGGAGGAGCTGGCCTTTATTTCCGAGGTCATGACGTGTTAATGCAGAAAAATAGACCAATAAGTATACTTTGACAATGTATTTGAAACAGAATGTTACATTAATTACAGAGGTAGAAGAGGGGAATTAAAGTATTTCACACTGTTAGTTTCCATGTCAGTAATTAGATTATATTTTCCCGATTGTCAAGTGTTAGCAACTGTAACCCAGAATATTCTTGGAGGCGTCGCGTTGTCGCATGAATCGGCCAACCATACGCGAGTTGCCCAGTGAGTTGAGACATAAAGCCTGTCAACTACTTGGTTAAAGGTTTGGCCAAGTGTTACAGCAGGGTTCAACTTGAGTTGAATTTGCAGTTCAGACAGTACTGTTTGAGGATCCTTGCTTGGGTTCTCGCTGTAAAGTCCCTTGTTTTCATCTTGGACAGCATGTTCGTGCTACTCAAGTTTAGTTACCGGGTTTAAAATTTGGTGGTTGCCTACTCGTTCGCTTGATATCTTTATCCGTAACTCCGCTGTTATGGAGTAGAACTTCTTTTCGTTATATACTCGCTATAGTCTCACCTGCCCAGGTGCAGGAGCTAGTACATCTGACCTACTGGTAGGAATCTGTGGAGACTCATTGCGAAACCGTCGTCTATCTCTCGAGATAAGGCGGCATTGTCCCGCTTTATTTCTAAGGACGCGCCCAGACATGAATAAAGCACGTGTGCAGAGAATGACGTATTCCCAAGGTCACCATCGGTACCACAAGTTCCGGACAACCGGTATGTTGGCGAAGTTCACCAAACACGGCTTAGCAACATACGACCAGAGGAGTGGAACTGAAAATGTTCACGACCGGAACGCCGCGATTGGCTGTACAGAACAAACAAATGAATGACCGTAACTGGCCATTTAGTCATCCTACATATTTACACCCTGATAATACAGCCGTGTCCCGAGTTCTCTATCTTCTTCTTATCGCTTAGTCTGGCAGGCCCAGTGGAGGCATAACCAATAGACGGCCACCCACGATATAGCACTAACAACGACCAAGAGTCTCACTTAGGGAATAATCCATCTTGTGTATTGCGTTTAATTTTACCCCTCGCACTTAGTCATGATATGAAATATGTAGGGAATGAACGAAATATGTGTGCCAAAAATTTGAGTATTTATCGGCAAAAACGGCTTCAGGAAGTGTTTTACTAGAGAACGACGGAGATTGATATCAGAGTGAAAATAAAAAAAGAATCTTATCCTTTCCAAAGGCTGTCAGGAAGGCCCATCGTAAATTGAACAACTGTGTCCGCTACTAAGTAAAACGTTTATTAGATACCATGTAGCAAGCCGTTTGAGGACATTTTCATTCAAACTACATTCAGAAAGCCTAAACATACTTGATGTTTATAAATCTATTGAAGTAAATTAATAAAACAGTCAGAAGACCCTGCTTTTGACGAAACATCCTGCTGACTTTTGGATCAGTGTGTCGCCAAAAAACTTTATTTCCACCAAATAATTCAACCAAATTGAAAAGAGCCGACGGAAATTCGGTCGTCATCTTTCCGGATTTAAATCGACAGCTGATATGAGTTCATAGATTGGTTTGGTGTCATTCCATATGACCAAAGGGATATGTACTCAAAAAGTGGTATTTAGACCCATCCAGCTTGTGTAAATAACAGCATCCATCTGTCGTTCGTTTGGTTAGCATCCACAGAACACCAGTGGCGACCTAATCCTTGCCCACGTCGGCCATTTGTATTTACTACCATGACAGACAATTCCAGCTAGGTTTACTTGATGTACTTACTTGAGACAGAGGTTCCAGCATATCATAGCATACATGCATGAACGAGACGCAACCACGATTGCCGCTACTGTTCCTTGGGCTCGAAGAAGTTCATCCCAGTGGCTTGTTGTGTTTAACCATTTTAATTCTTTTTGCTGTAGGCTGACGGAAGCATAGCCTCAAATCGGTTGGTTTTCTATTTGTTTAACGCGATATATACGAACATATCTTTAGAGGAAAAAGGCATTCACGTAAATCTATACCAGTCTTCTTTTAGATCCAGCTGTTTTTAGCATGTATTGTGGGGCTGGTGCGAGTGTTTCCTGAGTCAAAAAGGAAGAAATTAGGTTTGAAGAATTACATGAGGACGTTGGAAAAGCTAAGCTGTCCCGCAGATGACTGAATAAATATGGATGTCAAGTTTGTAGTATGTATCTAGAAGGAACAATGTTGGGAAAACGTTTCCGATTCTGAAAGAGTACAGGTTTCACCTCTGAGATATACGTACTAGCTTAATGGATTCTGCCTCAGCCAAAAGGGAGAATTTTCAATACGCGTTGATCTGTAAACTTTCACGCATCCCCATGCACTGGACTTCGTCAATAAACAGGGTTGCTGCCTTGATTTGGATCTCCTCTTCTAAATCCAGCTGTCGTCGGCACAGAGCCTTCAGTGAGTCATGAGCCAACTTGAGTCGATGTCTGAGCTCCGCGACGTCAGTTGTAATTTCTTCGACTTCTTGTATAAGTCTGCAAGAAAAGTGTCAAGTTTCAAATGAGATGAACCGTCTTCTGCACATATGAGCTTTTATTTGATGGTTTTATCTGTTCAAGATGATCCGTGTGTTGGAAATTATTTTCTTTCAAGGATAAAAATCATCTCCGCATCACTAGAATTTTTCACACACTAGGCAAAAATTCTTGGTGGAAAGATGTGGCCCGTTGTGCAGGCCATAATAATCCGAAGCGAATTTGTAGAAAAGGATATGTGTTGAAAGCTACACTGACGGGATAGGGGTGAATGCAAGAATAGAGACTTTTCTAGGTCCAGACATGTCCCTGGTAATTGATCGCGTTTTGGGTTCACACTTGTAGGATTACAGAACCCCTACTCTGGATCGTGTTTGAATGAAACCGTGCAAAATTTGCATCATGACTTTGAAGTACTTTACACTGCAACTTAAAAAGACTTCATATTGCCACTTACCAAACTTGACCGTACGTATCATTTTGTTCGCACATGTAGGGTCACAGTGGTTCATCAACTTTAGATTAGTCAGTCTGTCAACTCACCTGTGCTTGCTTTAAAGTGCTCTGGTTAATTATGTGCCAGGTAACAGCCACGCGGATAAATGGGTTAGTTGCGTACTCTCTTAGCTAACCTCCTTCACAGCAAAAATGTTGGAGTTGTTTGGAAAAACAATGAATAACTGTGCGATTCGCAAAGGTAAGAAAGGAGTTTGGGAAGTATTCAGCTTCGGAACACTAGAAAGAATGCAAACTTCATTGTTTTTCACTTTTGGTAAGCAGTTGATTCCCCTGAAGGATAACACATTTTGTTAGCTATGAACCAAATAGACCTGACAATTATATTAACAGTTTTCTGGCACCAGTAGGTAACACGATAATGTACGCTAAATACGCGATCCAAGTGTCCTGGGAACATGAAAGCTAGCAGAGAACTGGGCACCTTTTATCACTCTCCACTTTAGAAGCCTGATGCAGCTGGGATACAACAATAGTATATTTGTTGTTATCAGGTCTAATAATATTGTTAATGATGTCCGCGGTGCAAATTTGGTCATCACAGTAAGTAACCAAGATAGAACAATTGTGCAAGTGCTGCGTATGCCAGTCAACCGACTTCCTCCAAGGGCTCTTTTCGCACAACCACGTGAAGGGTGGAAGAGAGCCAGATGCGGTCAAACAATGACTTGGCAGCGAAGTATGAAGGCTATTACCAACAAACTCAGCTGCGCTGGTCACTGCCGTCTTCCTGGATGGGGATCCCGAGGCGGACCATATCAATGGTTAGAGAGATTATCAGACATGGCCGAGTCGCGCCATTAATGGCGCTCGTGCATCCAAGTCACTGCTTTCAATGCATAGATCCTTTTCCATCCAACACCCCACCCCACTTGACAGCCCACTGACAGTGCTGGATTTATGCACCAGCTTATCAGCTCCCGCCTGCAATGNCCCCCCCAATTCATCGGTGAACGAAACTGCGGCAGCTACAACCACTGTACAATGAGCACGCGGCTATTACAGTTGACAATGATGATGATGATGATGATGATGACAAGTGTGCCCACTGTAAGACCATACCGCTCAGGCTCACTGAGAGAGCCATTCAATAACGCAGTTTACCTACTGATGTTTAGCAGGAGGTGTGCTCTTGTGACATGGACAGCAATGAGGAGAGGATTCTCACTCTCACCTATCTGACAGTGGATCCCTATTTTCGACTAAATTCTGACAAAAAATCTTGCGACAGTTGCTGTTTGCGCAAAGATACAGATGAGATGCTGACAACATACTTAGCAGGTGCTCTTCAAGATGTTTCTAGACTACAGTCCACTACTATTCTGGAAAATCTACTTAATGTGGCTGTTTTGAGCTTATGGATGCATTATCCAGAGATATCAGGTAAAGTGTTCCTACTGAAAACACCATACATACCTACCGTACCCCTATACGGTGGCGTAAATGCTTTCTAATTCTCTCGCGGAGTCCGTGGATATTCGGCGAGAAGTCCAGTTAGTGGCATACAAACAACCTCAACAGTCCATGCTGCTGTCAGTCTCGAGAAACTAACAAAATGTGCCTCTCACATTGTGGTCTTGATGAAACTGTTGAATATCAATCCCAGGCGCACTGGAAGACCAAACGTTACAGTCTGGATGGACCATCACCCCCCGCATTCTCCCGTTCCCATAACTTTATAGCGAATATCATATGAACTCCCTACATTGTTGTCTTTTTTTTAATTTTTCAACTGAGGTTTCAAGTTGTGAATAAATTCAGTTCGCGATAAGGAGACTAGAGGTATTGAGCGATTGTGTCGTCTCTACTAGGAATTATATGCGGCGCTCATCTCCGGAAATTCCATGGAGTTTTAAACCCGCAACTTACCAGCTAGTATTTGAACGTTAAACCGTTTGACCAAGAGCAGCTGATTAGCGGTGATATGCCCGCATTTTCACTGGACATAGAGCCATTTGTCCTTCAGTCACGGAACTTACATCACACGGTAAGTTGACTGGATTCTTGATTGACAACTTCCCTAATGAAAGGTTCACTCATCGTGTATGATCCTTCTTTCCAAGTAGTATTAATAAATTTGGAAACTAAAACTTGGAAAACAGAAGTGTGTATTTCCTCTACCTGTTTTCTGTTTTGCAAACATTCCATTTAGCAAAAAAAATCTAGTCTACTGTGGGGTATTATGTTTTCGTTTTTGGGTACAGAAACCTCTGTAGTAGATACTGACTTGAGTAGGTAATAGTTGTGTGAGAAATTTTGACCGTCATTTGACAGATGATTATGCGGCCATCTGAGAAGTTTTCAGGGCCCACCGATTTTTTCTGCAATCTCCGGTGAGGAAAAGGTAGAAGTCCAATTTTGTCAACAGGAGGCTGCTTCTATGCTGAAGAACAGTCACATGTACAGCGATTAGAGAGCCGTAAGATCATCATCATCATCATCATCATCATCATCATCATCATCATCATCATCATCATCATCATCACCATCATCATTGTCAGCTGTAAGAACCGCGTACTAGTCGTACAGTGGTTGTAGCTGCCGCAGTTTCGTTCACCGATGATTTGGGGGGGGGTGGTAGGTAGCTGCGCATTGCACGCGCGAGCTGGTAAATTGGTGCATAAATCTAGCACTATCAGTGGGCTGTCAAGTGGGGGGTTAGTCGTAAGGTGTCGATGACTTAGTACAACTTTGGAACAATGACGGCTTTACAATAACCAATCCATGAAATTTAATAATTTGTTTAAAAAATGCGCAAAATATGGGGATATTTAGTATATTTTTATGGAAGCTTATGCAGGTATCTTTCACTTGTTGTCCTCCTAAAATCCATTCTCGCGCAAATTCTTGTTCAAACTTTTTATCCAATCGCGCACGCTACAACAGATTCAGAAGTCGTCAAACACTAAAGAAATTTCGAGATCTGTTTCTTACGAACTAGAATTCATAAAAGTTACCACCTTTCCCGTTGTTCCGGTTTACCGAGGCCATAGCTGCTAAGATACCCTCAGATGAAAGGACCTTTTCAAAATACATACTAACGAAACGCGCAACAACGCTCGAGCATTATTAACTATAAAGTTGGAAGGCTTCAGATAAGTAGAACGAAGAACGACATTCGCAGAGTGGTCATCATTCCCGTTTTCTATCAGTATATAGTTCAAAAGTCCTTTAATTAGGCTGAAATGTTTCAAATGAAATGACTTCTGATTTATCCAGACCGTTATATTTTTATCTAAAATTGTATTATAATCAAATCCGTACAACTTCTGACATGTTCACACACCTTCCACCTAATTATGAATGCCTTAAACTCCAACAATCGGTGGTAAGCAAGAAAATGTTAGAAACCTGTGTTCAAAAATTAATGCATTTTTTGTGGCCACGAGAGTATTTTTGTTCCTGTAATGAAAATCAAAATTGGTCAGAATTCCCCGTCATTATGGTTCCATTTTTGTAAGGCAAATACTGTGTTCACATTTCTGTCAATCTCATTATTCTCAGCTACTCAATATCCTCAGAATTTGAACATGCGAGCATAAAAAAGTAACAGATGAAAAGTGATTTTCTCAACTTCTCAGTCGATGCAAAATACCTCCCGCTATAAGCCACTAAAATATTAGGCAAGCTTCCTTATTTCTTTTAGGAACTTCTAAACTTTCCATCGTATTCGCTAACGTAGCTTTGAACAAAACTTTAGACGAAGGAGATTCCAAACACTTTTTAACGAGATAGTTAGAAATGCGCATATACATACTCATTGTACTATTGTGCTGTGTATGGCATCCGATAATCTGTCAGGTTACCTCTAGAGTCTTCATTTTGCTTCCTGGTATTGTTTGCCTATTTTTCTTCGTCGACTGCGGTCAACTACATCGTCCAATAGTATCGACTTCTGTCGTTCCGTATAAACGGTTGAACACGATAAAGTGGTACAGATTGGATTTTTGGCTGATGTTGGGAATGTTTCCAAAAATCTGGTTTCGCCACCATCATTTCCTGCTTACAAGGATACACAAAACGTCTTAAATAAAAAATCTAATAATTATCCTGCTGAAGCCAACAGATCAAATGGCCTGACAGGAGATTTGAGTCAGGTGACACCGGGCAGGTGCCCTGCCCATACTGCACCAGCGCGCGCTGGATGCAGATCAATTACCAGATATGAACAGTTGTTTACGGCCAAAAAATTGACCGATTTGCCAAGCGCCTCGAACGGCAAACAAGAAACGGTCCGGGTAATATGGATCGGGTAGCTGGCCTGTCACGTCATCCCAGTTAGTTGGAATTATGGATGCTTGGATGTCTTATCACATCCTTACCCGAATACACCTGTGTTCCTTTTTCTGCTATTCTGTTTGTTCCACACCAGAGAGGGCAAACTGAACGTGAGTTTTATTTCGTATACAGCTCATAATTAACCATCTACAATGCAGCACTTATTTACAAGAAACTTCACGTCTGTGGAAATTCATAGGTCACAGTCATAATCGTATTAAAGCTAAATGTCACTCTGTAGCTCCATTAACGGGCTCCATTAATGATGTTATTCTTCAAAGATATTACGTCTTACTCTGAGATATATCATCTAAATTTGCACCAATTTTACCGTCAATTAAAAAGAGTGAATGCAAGCAAACTTTGACCTACATTTTAATGCGAAAAATAGTTGTTTGCTTTGGCGAACAAATTTGCATAGCACGAATTTACTTGCAGTCTAATGGCTCATAATGCTTTATTACACAATGTCTCTGTTTCAGCCTAGTTTATTTCTAGACAAAAGTTTAAGGAACCATCATGGATACGCTGGCAAAGTTGACAGCAGGCTTACGAGTTCAGATATTTGGATAGCTGCAGCAACCTGAGAAATGAAATATGTATGAGTGGGTCTCAAACCATCCCCAGCGATCTTAACTGGTTAATGTTCTCTCAACTTCTATAAGATCATTCGCACTATCCACCACAGTCTTTAGAAAGTATAGGAGTGTATGTAAAGGCTACAAATGCTTTTCCTCAAGCTCACCTGTATTCAGCGGCATCTCTGCACAATTCGATGTTTGGACGAACTTTCCTCAAATCGATCCGTGTACCGGCAAGGCGAAGAGCTCCCTCTTTATCTTTGATGGATTTATTTATTTCTGATATCATGTCTTCCATTTTTGAAATTTCTTCCAGAACCTGTAAAATCGGTTGGAACGTTTTAGACAATGAACGCCTTTAACATGGGTATAGTGAGTATATTTGGTGGCCATAACAACTTAGCCTTACTCAATTACAGTGAACATTTCTGTTTAATTTCAGAGCTGTGTTCACTAACCAGTCTGTATTAAACTACTAATCTTAAGTGTCTTCCTTTTGTGGTCATTGAATTATCAGCATTTTAAAGCAGCCGAATCACACGGGATTTATCTGCTCCTGGGCCTACTCTTTGTCTCGTAAATGTTTCGTCGCTAGCTTGAAAAATTTCGACATTCAGCGCTAAGTACCTAAATAAAGTGGTGACCGCTTTTTATGGAGGTATGCTGTTTGTTTTCTATCGTCAACGCTCTAGAGAATATGCAGAAAACAACGCTATCGTCTTTGAAAAGGAAAAAACACGATGAGCTGCACAAAACAACCCCGTCCGTTTAATCCACAAATTGAAAGGTCACACTTCTACAAAACCAGGAACTGAATACGTTAGTAAAAACTTGAGAAGAGGCACCCGAAGTCGCGAAACGTTCCAGATATCTTAAAAGTTCTATAGGCCCTGACTGCATGCAATAAAACGAGGCAATCCAAGAATATTGCGCTCAGATAATGTTTGCTGAGGTAAGACGACAATAACGTAGGATAACTTTGACCCTCCAAAGGCACCCATATTAGGCTAAAATATGAAATTTCTTGTTCTATGATTGTAAGACGTAGCTTTCCGATCATTGGAACTGAAAGACATTCAGGTCCTCGATGAGTCCAGCAACAAATAATGCCCTAGTCTAGTTCTGAGAGATGAACAATGTCCTCCAGGGAACATATGTTTCCCATGCCCAATTCAAGTGATGCACGCACAAAGATGGACACATACTGAGCATGCAAACTAGCGATCCGGTTGTTCATTAATGTGGCAATTCTGGCAACAAATATAAAAACTGAAGGAACGATATTTTGCGTGTATCCTTGCGACCGATTGGTCCCTAACTGCCATTGTACCTTCGACATCAGAGATAGTCCAATTAGTCAGCTGGGCAACTGTCAACTGTGCATCCGTTAATTAATGCAAATGAAACAAAAAGCTGCTCCTACTAATATCCGTTTCCGCCTTTCACTAATTTTTCTTCGTGTGGAGTCATTTCAAAAACATCTGACCTCGATTTTAGCCAGTTTATTAGCTACCGAGTGAATGACACTCAAGAACTCAACACCCCTTCTGGGGAAATTGGTGCTCCACAGCAAAGCCGAGGTGGCTTTTTCAAGACAAAAATTTACACTTTTATTTTTGATATTCTCCCTCTTGCGTCGCAAATAGTATAACTTTTTTCACTTCCATTGCAACAGGCTGGTGAACATTTACTAGTTTTCTCTCCAAAACAAAGCAGCTTTTTTAAGTAGACAATGTTTGTTCTCTTGGACACGATAGCACAACAATGTATGCTCCAAACCGTTCGTGCATACGTAATCGCTTTCCTTGAATTTAAACTCTTATGGAGTTGTAAAACTTCACAGAAGGTTGTATAAAAGCTTTACTACAAGCTAGGATGTCCCATGTTCCTGTTTGACTCTTTTATTGAGTATTCATCGAAGTGAACGTTGGGCCGTTCCAAGAAAGTCTACTTTGAAATTGCTGCCGCCATATCCTCTTGGTCCTCATCACCTAAATTGTAGAAACATGTGTTTTTGTTGATGTGTGGCGTGAGAATGCAATGTTTTAGCATGTGTGTTTAGGCGCTAAGTATGACCCTTTTGAATCGGTGATGTTTGCCGTAGTTTATGTGGTGCTTTAAGTGTCTAGTAAGGCATTTCAGCCGTAATCTTAAAATGACGGGTTGGATCGGCGTACTCTTGCATATTTAAGGGTTTAATGGGCCGCGCATATCAGAATACTTTGATGACTTTGCATTTCAGCTCTTAAAATGACGGGTTGGATCGGCGTACTCTTGCATATTTAAGGGTTTAATGGGCCGCGCATATCAGAATACTTTGATGTGATGATTCCGTGCGGTTGCAAGAGGCCTCATGAGACTGGAAGTTTAGAATCATCCTTGGTCGCCAACGTCCAAGAGGTTGAGCAAAGTTAGCTGTCGTCCACAAATTTGTAATGTGATGGTTAGAGAGATTGTGAGTAGTGCAACACTTGAGTCACCAAAGAACAGCACCTACTGCTGAAAACCGTCGTGGCCTGACAACATGTTGCGCACCCGATCATTTTTTGCCGAGGAACCTGTGTTTTATAAGCCGTGGCTGTAGTGAGTAAAACCGGAAGGACAATGAATAATGAGTAAATTGACAGGTGACAATAAAAAGGGTGCTAAAATCCTTGGTTCCATAGATATAACCCACCATTTAAGATGGAACACATGTTAAACAAACGCAAAACAGTAAACGACATGAAAGCATACCAAAGTCATATATGCTTTCCCAATTCTTATCCAGATTATCCGGTCAAGCAATATGGGCACGGATAAGCTAACGTTGGGCACTTTTTCAAATCACCCGTTTTCATTAGATTACACAAAGTTCTCCAGATATATCTACATGATTGTAGGTGAGAAAACCATCGGCGCAATGAAAATGGTACTGACAGCAAGGGTGCGAAAAGGAGAACGGCCTTAGTCTACATGCTAGAACCGGTGAATGGAGCTACAAAGCTTGATAGCCAGCTTTACCTGAAACTTTACATGAAGCGTTGAACAAACATTTCAGCTACGCCGCTGATGAACAAGTAAAGCTTTTGATGATGGCTCCGACAAAGCCACCGAAGCATTTGACTTATCTGTTCTCACTTTATTTAGACTATTTCGTTTATTTTCAATATCCTTATCCTCTCATGACAAACCACATTTGGTTGTCGGTTTGAATGATTACTAGATCAAGCAACCAATTTATTTGACACCGCAAACGCGATTTGTGATGCTCGCTTCCTGTCTCTTAATACCACAAACACATTCGTGCCTTTCATACAGCTTAGGGGGCTTTTTGGGTTAAATTACCTTTGTTAAAGCATAATTTTCCAAACAGTGTTCAGTTCACTATGGCCAATTCACTTTTATTACTTTTGATCCCATCTGATAATATCTGAACCGTCAGGAAAATGTGTCACTAAGAAGTATATACCCTTTTCACGTCGGTGAGGCAGCCTTGTAATACGTACGGGGGTGAATAGCTCTACACATTCAGCCAACTTACCCTAGACAAATGTTCTTCAAGTTTGCCCTTAGCATCTCTGGTCTCGGTAATACGTTTTTTCAGCGCCCGATTTGTAGCCTCCACTTGCCTTTTCTGATCTGACGCGATTTGCTGTAAAATTCCATCAATAATGCTCCGAAGTTGTTGGGAGTTTTGAAGCTGCTTGTCTCCAGCCTGAATGGTGTTGTGTGAGAAATGTTGCCATTCTTCTGTGGTGAAGGAACTTGAGTGAGGTCCTACCGGCCACTTCTTGAGACTTACTTAGGATCAATCAGTGTTCCACTTTTCAACCCCGGAAGCGACTCGTCTGTGCTCTTGAGACTCAGAGCATATTCATCAATATGTTGTGCGCTAAGTTTGTCGCCGGCATCCTTCTTCAAGTTATAAATGGCTTTCCGATTAAGTCTGAAAATTTTGAAATGAAAAGTGTGCGGAGCACTGACCTGCAGCTGAACAATTGAATCCAGGAATTTTGTGTCATTCAAACCGGGTCCCACAATGTCTTGATTCGATGGCTTTCAGTTTATTACCAAAGTCTCGCTTTTTGTTGGACAAGTAAACAAACGAAACCCAGAGAGAAATTTGTGCTCAAGTCACGGCAATAATAGATAACTGTTTTTTCATAGCTGAGGTTTCTCGTTTT